TCGGCTTCTTTTGCATCGTTTTTGTCATCAGCTGTCCTCTTGACTCTGTGCTCTGGATTCACAACTGACTGGCCTCAGAGCACCCTGGGATGTGTTGGCCCCGTTTGCGCCCTGGCAACTACAATGACTTGGGCCTCCAGACTGGCTTTTCTCCTGTTTTGTCCTTCCTACTTTGGAGAGACTACCTGCTCGGCCATATAGTCTTCCGTTCACATAATCTTGTGTGTGGATTTCTGGGCATGTGCTGATCCCAAGGAGAAAGCCAAGGATCTCTGCGGCCAGTAGAGATGTTGGGGTCAAGAAACTTCTAACTTCTTTGAGCGGGATGTGGGGTGGTCCAGTGCAGTGAGTTCCTACAGGCAGACATGCCATGCACTGTTCTGAGTAGTTGTCTATATGGACTCCCGAGTTCTCAATCCTAGTGGTCATGTGCTGTGGGGGTGCAGCGGTGAGCGTGCAGTAGTTTTTGCTATACCCAGGGGTAGCCTTTTGGATCGTACAGTCTGTGTTCAGGTGATCCTCTCTACAGTGCTCACTGGAACAGTGGTGCTCGAATTGGCCGGGGGGTTACCAGGAAAGGCAGATATATCCAAGAACCTTCTGTATCACGTCCTCCCACTTTAGCAGATCCAGTTGCCTTATGTGATTTTTGTGGCCCATCAGTCATGCGTGAGCATGGAGCCTGGTTTATTCGGAGTGGAGGGGCCCCGCGACAATATAGGACCCTGGGACCTGGCCTCAGAGTAGTGTGAATGAGGCTAAGATAGACTCTGACTCACACCCTCTTCGTGGGCTGACTCAGGACACAGTGACCTTCCACGACGTGGCTGTGAACTTCACCCCAGAGGAATGGTTATGCCTGGAGGCCTCTCAGCGGAAGCTCTACAGGGACGTGATACTGGAGACCTACCAGAATCTGCAGGCTGTCGGTGAGAGCAGTGTGGAGCCAACCATGTCTGAACAGACCTGCGTTGGTTCCCTGGGGTTGGGCGGAAGCTGTGTGTCCAACAGTAGCTCTGTGACGGGCGTGCAGTAGCTCTTCCCTCCCTCGTGTTTTTTAGGGTTCACCTGTGGATACTCAGGGCTTACTCTCAGCTTTGTCTTCAGGAATTACTCTTGTGGGGTAGCTGGACCCTATGGGGTGATTCAGATCAACCGTTTTCGACTGTGTCCATGGGAAGATCCCTATCTGCCCAGTTATCACTCAGGCCCTTTAAATAGTTCCATCCATTGGTGCAACAATTTACTTTGTGTACTACACGAAATTTTGTGTGTTTAATTGGTTTTGCTGTTGCCTTTGTTTGGGGGGCACAGTTCTCCTGGCTCTGTGCTAAAGGATGACACCTACAAGTGTTCAGGGGCCATATGGAACCATATATTTAAACCTCTTGGCAAGTTAAACTGTCGCTGCCTCACCCCCAGTACTTTTGCATCAGTCACTCAAGTCAGACGGTTTTTGCATTTTCTTTTTTCCTTAGGGATTAGGAATTATTCCTGCCTTTGTATTCAGGGTCCACGCCTGGCCTTGCTCCAAGACCATATGGGCTGCCTGGGATCAAACCCACATGTGTGTGCAGCACTTCTGTCTTATCTGCTGTACTATCTCTTTCCCACCACAGGGGATTTGATATTTCGTCTCTCAACTCATTAGACGCTGCCCTATTTCAGTGCTTTGATTTACTTCTAATGGTTCTTGTGAGACTTCAGCAGGACTTAGGGTTTGCTTCTGGACTCTGCACTCAGGGATCGCTCCTGGCTGGCATGAGGGACCCTAGGAGATATCGGGTATCACGACTGGATTGTCCGTGAGAAACTCCTGCTGTGCTCTCTTTCTGGATACATTTTTAGCTTAAAAAATAAGGGTATCTTGTCACCCTTGGCCATTTCCAGATTTATTATGCACTTAGTTTTACTGAAATCCGTGAAAAGTTCATGAGGGGCTCAGGAAACTCCATGTGCTGCTGAACCTAGAGAGATAGTACAGGGATGAAAGTGATTTTCTTGCAAGCGGTGCACGTGGGTTAAATTCCCGGCAACCCATGTCATACCCGAGCACCAGCAGCAGTGATTTCTGAATACAGAGTCAGGAGTCTCCCCTGATCATTGCCAGGTGAGACCCAAAACAAGACAAAAAACAAAAACATACTGTGCTAATCAACCCCCTGTCGGCCATACACAAGGCCAGGTCTAGAGTATCTGTGATATTTTCTTGGGTCTTACCTTCGAATAAATAGAAATATGTGGAATTTTGGAAATGGACATTCTGTTCATGATTTTTATCAAGAAAACATGGGCATTTACCTGTCACCTTTTCCCTGTGACTTATCCATGCCTCTGTCTCTGTTGGGGCAGGGCACACTGGAATGAAGCCTGCAGTGATCTCCTGGCTTGAAGGAGGAGTTTTGAGGTCGGGTAGGAGAGGCGTGTGTGCGGGTGAGTGTCTGAGGACCCTTCCTGGATCAGGCCCTGTGCAGTGTATGGGTGCCCTGAGCATGTGTGAAACATGCTGCAGAGGCCGGGGCCTTGGTGTCCTGTATCCTTGGGTCTGAGCCGCACTCAAGCTGCTCTTCATTTCCTTGGACTGTCAATCACAGAATAATCTTGTAATTTGCTTCCATGGCTTTCGAATAAATAAGACCATAACATTGATAGTTTGGATCTAAACGATAGTACAGCAGGGAGCGCCTTGCAGTGCCTGAATGTGACCTGTTCAATAATCTGTTCAATAACCTGGTTCCCCGAACATCACCAGGTCTGCTCAAAAACAAAAACATAACCTAGTGTAGAATTGCCAAGATCCTCACAGTTTTCCACTATCCGAATCTTTTGTTTAGTGTGGGACTCTTTGGACTTTGAGAACCACAGAGATGTACTCTTAACTACATGGCATCATTTTGCTACATATTGTGACATGTGTGACATGTGTGAATTGCATGTTCTCTTCAGTTTCAGAACTGAAACCGCGACTTCAGAATTTGGTATTACAGCACTTTGATTTGGGAATGGGGTCAGCAAGTACGAGTGAGTTGGTAAGATTCACGAATACAGAAGAAATATTATTATGCCAGCAGGAGTGGACCAAGTATGTGATTGTAAAGGTGGAGGGCTGGGATTGGCAGGGAGAAATTCCAACACCTGATGCTTGGAGTAGAGGACTCATAGCTTTGCTAGGTGCTGACATCAACCGTGTATAAAAATACTGTGAGTTTTTGATGGGCTTGACAGTGGTAGTTGTTTAGAAAGCTAATTTGTGCACCCTGGAGATGGTGCAGTGATAAATATACTTGTTTTGCATAGGGATGGATAGTCCTTACCCAGCACGCCTTATAGACAGCATAGACGCACAGAACTGATCCGAGACACTGCATGGTGTGCTCCTTCACCCACCCAACCTCCAATGAATAGAAACTACAAAACAGAAAGAAAAAAAAACTTTATTGATCCTGAAAGGCATCACTTGTGGTGAGAGCATTGCAATGGCCACGTGATCTGTCTCAGCTGCGTTACGATGCAGCGTAGTCTTCACCCCTGCATCACAGGTTACACACAGAACTTTAACCAAATCCACATGTGGATCTATTTCATTTTCTCTTGAAATGGATGTGTCCGTTTTCTATAGAAGGAATTATTTCTAGTTGTATTCCTTCATTAAATTAAAAGGGGGGGAAGTCCCAGAATTTACTCTCTATCCATCAATGTTGTGCGTCCAACTTACGGTAACATGAAGTTTTTCAATAGTAAGACAATTCATATGTCAGTAATTGCATTTTTGTGGTGCATATGTGTGGAACTACATCTGAAGGACTCAGTTTTTTGACAGTACGACTCAGTGAATAAGTCAATAATTAGAATCCTCTGTTGTTCTGCAGGAAAGCTGCCACCCCGAGTGGAATGTCTCTGATTCTGCACTGTATGATAATGTCTCGACTGATCAATCCTGCCCTCAGCCCCATGAGGACGACGAGACAGGCGGGATTTCTTCTGAGGGTGATCAGAATGGTGAGAGCTACCTCACTCTGAAGAAGCCCTCTCCTGGAAAAAGTTCCTTGGAGTGTGTTATTCTCAGTTCACAGACACAAAATTCCCCAATGGGGTACCTGCTAGGGAGAGAAGCACTGTTTATAGTTAGTCCCTCACAGCAACATACCCTCAACCACAGTCACCGTGAGCAGCACCCATATAGGTGTAAGGAATGTGGAGGAGCCTCCCCATGTTCTCAGCACTGTGGTGTTCCCTTAGAAAACCATAGTGGACAGAATCCCCAGAAATGTCAGCCCCAAGAACAAAGTGTGAGTCAAGGGTTACTCCATCATGACCATATGAATATAAATTCAGGAGCGAAACCTTTTGCATGTGAAACATGTGGGAAGGCCTTTGATCAATCATCACATCTTATGCATAGGAGAATTCATACAGGAGAGAAACCTCATGAATGTCAGACATGTGGGAAGGCCTTCATTCAGACCTCTAGTTCTAATGGACCTATGAAAACTCATAGTGCAGAGAAGCCTTATATATGTCAGGAGTATGCTAATGCCTTTACTCGATCCTCAGGCCTCAGTGTACATAGAAGTATTCACACTGGAGAGAAACCATATATATGTAAGGAATGTGGGAAGGCCTTTGCTGGAGCCTCAGGACTTAGTGCACATAGGAGAATTCACACTGGAGTGAAACCATATATATGTAAGGAATGTGGAAAGGCCTTTGCTTTGGCCTCAAGACTTAGTGAACATTGGAAAATTCACACTGGAGAGAGACCCTATTTTTGTAAGGAATGTGGAAAGGCCTTTATTTTGGCCTCAAAACTTAGTGTACATAGGAGAATTCACACTGGAGAGAAACCGTATATATGTAAGGAATGTGGGAAGTCCTTTGCTAAATCCTCAAAGCTTAGTGTACATAGGAGAATTCACACTGGAGAGAAACCGTATATATGTAAGGAATGTGGGAAGTCCTTTGCTAAATCCTCAAAGCTTAGTGTACATAGGAGAATTCACACTGGAGAGAAACCGTATATATGTAAGGAATGTGGGAAGTCCTTTGCTGTATCCTCAAACCTTAGTGTACATAGGAGAATTCACACTGTAGAGAAACCGTATATATGTAAGGAATGTGGGAAGTCCTTTGCTGAAGCCTCAAGCCTTCGTGTACATAGGAGAATTCACACTGGAGAGAAACCGTATATATGTAAGGAATGTGGGAAGGCCTTTGCTAGAGCCTCAAAACTTACTGTACATAGGAGAATTCACACTGGAGAGAAACCATATATATGTAAGGAATGTGGAAAGGCCTTTGCTACAGCCTCAAGCCTTAATGTACATAGGAGAATTCGCACTGGAGAGAAACCGTATATATGTAATGAATGTGGAAAGGCCTTTGCTTTGGCCTCAAGACTTAGTGAACATTGGAAAATTCACACTGGAGAGAGACCCTATGTTTGTAAGGAATGTGGAAAGGCCTTTATTTTGGCCTCAAGACTTAGTGTACATAGGAGAATTCACACTGGAGAGAAACCGTATATATGTAAGGAATGTGGGAAGTCCTTTGCTGAATCCTCAAAGCTTAGTATACATAGGAGAATTCACACTGGAGAGAAACCGTATATATGTAAGGAATGTGGGAAGGCCTTTGCTCAATCCTCAAGCCTTACTATACATAGGAGAATTCACACTGGAGAGAAACCGTATATATGTAAGGAATGTGGGAAGGCCTTTGCTCAATCCTCAAGCCTTGCTAGACATAGGAGAATTCACACTGGAGAGAAACCGTATATATGTAAGGAATGTGGGAAGGCCTTTGCTCAATCCTCAAACCTTACTATACATAGGAGAATTCACACTGGAGATAAACCATAATATATGTAAGGAATGTGGAAAGTCCTTTGCTGAAGCCTCATACCTTTGTGTACATAGGAGAATTCACACTGGAGAGAAACCATATATATGTAAGGAATGAGGAAAGGCCTTTACTTCATCCTCGCAATTGACTATACATAGGAGAACTCACAGTGGAGAGAAACCGTATATATGTAAGGAATGTGGGAAGTACTTTGCTGAAGCTTGCTGATTTTCACCCGGGCTGCACCTATGCCAGTATTCTTGTGCTTGGAATTGCTTGTGTGTTAACTTGTAAATAATGGGTCATGGTGATGAAAATAAGGAGGAAGGTGACTGAATAAACTGAATAAACACCCTCCTGCTCAGAGCTGTAATGGCTCACTACTCTGTTATTGTTTGCTATGCTTCTGGCTTGGCCCAGTGGGGCTGGTTAGCGGGAATTATGGCAGAAATCAACCAAGATGCAGCATTGAATACTTTGAAAATGGAAAAATAGGTAATCCTTCATTCTTCAGTGTTTCCTGTGTTAGGATTTGGGATGCTTGAGCACCCTGGTTTGGCCACTTGAGCGCCAGGTCAAGCCAGCTTGTATGGTGCATTCACGCTTGTTTGTTACTTGTTCTGGATATCCAGGCTTTAGTGGATGTGGAGCTTTTGAGGGGTGCATTGGGTGCTGTTCTGTCACTCAGGTGTCATGGGTGAGGGTGCGTTATCCTGAGGGCCCCTGCAGCCACCATCGATCCAGGTCCAAGACGGCACTGGAGGTTGGGCACATGGACTTCAGGCCTTGGTGTGAGGAGCCTGCAAAGAGTGGAGGTCTTGGTCATCTCGTTCCTCCCTACTGGAGACTGTGAAGGACCCTGTTTTGAGCCTTTGGACTGGACCTAACACTTATCGAAACTCCAGATATGTTCACAGGCAGCCCCCAAAGGAAAGGGACACTTTTGCCGTCAGTCATTTTCATTGGCTTCAGTGCTGGGTTTGGCACTTTGGGGTGTGTTTAGACAAATGAGACGTATATGCCTTGAAAATTTACTCTTTGGATTATATTTTTTTTTTGCTTTTTGTGTCACACTCAGCGTTTCACATGGGTTTCTCCTGACTTATGCACTCAGGAATTACTCCTGGTAAAGCTCAGGGGACCATATTGTTTCTGAGATTCGAACCCGGGTTGGTCACGTGCTAGTCAAACCTCTTACCCGCTCTGCTATCACTTCAGCCCCTCTTTGGATTAATTTTAATAGCTGCTTTTATTCAAGGCAGTTGGAAGGGATTCTTTGATGCACAAGGTTTACTTCTGGTTGTGCATATCAGGAATTATTCTGTGGTGCTGCTGGGTACCTATCGGATGGGGAGGCTAGCATCCTAGTAGCTTCACAGTGATTCCAACCCCACTATTGGTGTTTTTCCATATATAGAATTTCTACAACCTGGGATTATGGTACCGCCAGCAGGTCAATATGTGCCTGTAAGGCGACTGCATCAGCAGCCTGATGGCACCGTCAGACTTACAGATACTCCAAAATTGATGCTGTGCCTTTGGCCAGACTCCAAAAACTTTGGGCAAAGTCTTCCAAGAAAGTAAACAGCCAATGTTAGGTATGTGCAAGACACACCAACAAACCATTTCCTGCTCAGCTATATAATTGGAGGCAAGGTCTCTCTGGTTCCTGATCAAACCTCTTAAAGGCTATGATTCCAGAGACTCAGAGATAAATCTCGTAACCCAGCGGCTTTTTGCAGAGATGTGCCCGATACCCACAATGAGCTACCGGCGACAGACCACCACAAGGGGGAAAGGGGGTTTGTCTCCGCCTGATCCCACTTGGTGGCTCAGTGGCCACCATCTTCCAGAGGCCATTGGACAGACAGGTTTGGTCCTGCAGTGACAAGACATGCAAGGCCTCATGGGATTGGGCTGGACTCTGCACTTTCCTCCCCACCTCAATGAGACCCCGAGTCGCTGCCCATGTACGAATTCTCTGGCTGATCCCAGAGTCTCAGAAACTAATTTCGGAACCCAGTGGCTTTCAGAAGAAATGTGTTCTGTCCCCACAGTAGGTTACCTAAGCTGGGTATTTCAGGTGGGAGTAGGTTTTGTGCCAGGCGGCTCAGTGGCCGCCGTATCTTAGGGTTCTGGACGGTTAGTTTTGGGACTGCAGTGAGGAGACATGCAGGGCCTAATAGGATGGTGGTGGAGCTGGCCCTTTTCCCCCTGCCCCAACGAGACCCCGAGTTGTCTGGCACCTATGATTGACCTCTATGGCTCGTGATCAAGGTGAGTAATGGCCATGATCCCAGAGATTCAGAGACAAATCTCGAAACCCAGTGCCTTTTAGCAGAAACGCATCTGGACCCTGCAGTAGGTTACTGTCCCAGGTCCACCCCAGGGGGAATTGGTGCTGTCCCGCCAACGGCTCCTCCTTGGCGGCTCGGTGGCCTCCATCCGCCAAAGGCCTTTGGAAAGTCAGGTTTGTGCCCACACTCAGGAAGATACGTGGGGCCTCGCAAGATGGGTGTGGAGCTGGCCAATTCCTCCCCACCCCAACAAGAGCCTAAGTCATTCCCACGAACCTCCTCTCTGGCTCGTGATTAAGCTGTTTAATGGCCATAATCCCAGAGACTCAGGAACAAATCTCGGAGCCCAGCAGGTTTTAGCAGAAATTCCTCCAGATTTAGTTGTTAAAATTTCAGAATTCCAAAATCATATGTTATTTATAACCAGCAAATGAAAAAGAATTGTCTACTGTTGCGTTTTCACCAGATCTAACTGCCGGAGTAAAATGCCAAATAATAATGGTGGGTCTTGTGTCAAAATATTGAATGTAATCAAAGTAGAGAGAAGAATTGGAAATTATCTGCCCCACAGGTAGAGGAAGGCTGTGAAATGGCGTTATACTTGGGTTTTTAGTGATGGAAAATGGGCATGGTGAAGGGACGGGTGTTTCATTGTATGACTGAGACTTAAACCTGAAAGCTTTCTAAGTGCTCTCCCATTTTCCCCCGTTTTCTCTCATTTATTTAGAAATGGCCAGAGTAATAGTAGAGCAAGTAGGATGCTTACCTTACATGTGGCCAACCCAGGAGTCTTCCAGTTCACAACGTCTTTTCATTGCTTATTGGACATTGAGCGACCCCTTCTCATTCCTAGAACATGTAATGTGGGGGTGTGGCATGGGGTAGGGGTGTCTTCTCCCCGGAGCTGTTCATTACGGAGAGATCCAGTGCTTTGCTTTCTTGACTTTGTTGTGATTCTTCCCTATCTGTCAGGTATGTCAAGTAGTCCATGTGTTTCAAGGCTCTTGTTTTCCCAGTTGTATAACTGGCCAGACTGTACAACTAATGGGTCGGGTACCCTTTCTGGACCCTGCTCAGTCAATCTGACACCATGCATATGTTTGCCTTTGGATCATTGTCATGTTTTTTGAAAATGGGAAGAAATTGAGTTTTCTTTTGTTATGGGGCCTGGGGATGCTCAACAGTTATTTCTGGTTGTTCTCATAAGTTGCTTTTAGCAGTGTGTAAGGATCAACCCCTGTCAGCCTCATGCTAGGCAAATGCCTACCTACTGTACGCTTGTACGCGCCAAAAAATGTTTTATTGTGTGTATGTTAAATTGTGACTGTGAGCCCATAGTGAAGTTAATTAGGACCAGAACAGCAGTGCATCACGGAGGGTGCTTGCCTTACAGATGCCGCCTACCTTCGATGTCCAGCATCCCCTTTGGTATCCCAAGCATCACTGGGTCTGATTAAAAACAAAACCCAAAAGGATTTTTTGGGGGATTGCCGAGCTCCTCCCAGCAACACTTCCCGCAGATTTTCCCTTTCTGTAGGCTTCCTTGGACTGTGAGAACTATGGAGATGTCCTCCACCTGTTTGATCATTCAGCTGCATTCCATTCAACATTGGACTAATTCGCATTGTGCATTTTGTGTGATTTCAGAACTCAAATCACAGGTTTAGGATGTGACATTACAGCAGTTTCTTTAGGGAACAGGGGTATTGCATAGAAGTGTGCTGTAAGAGTCTCTTGTTGAAACTATTATGCCATTGGAGTGCTCAGTGGACCGAGCATGCAACTTGAAAGGTGGGGTCCGGCTCCATCCCCACAACAACATCTATGGTCTCAGAATCACAGGAAAAATAACGGAGCCTAATGCTGGGACTAGAGGGTCTTTAACCTCAGTGGGTGCTGAAATCTGGAAATTTATTTTATTGTATTGTTTTTTAAAGTCTTCATTAAAATGCCAGTATTTTCAATGTTATTGATAGTTGTGTTTAGGCGTACCATCATTGAACACCAATTCCTGCATCAGCTTCCCTCCACCCGTGTTCCCTTATTCCCTCCCCACCCAGGTGCCCACTATGCCCCCACCTGTCATCTGGACAAGCACTTGACTAGGTTTCAGTGGTTACAGCTTAGATCTCTTGTTTTCAGTTCTCTTGCATCTGTATTTTGGGTAAATGGCTATACCCCTCACTCATGTCACTGGCATAAGTGAATCCCTGCTCACTGTAAACTTCTGGGTGTCTTCCGCCCTAAATTTCATTCCTTCTTTGTCCGGCTTCTCTCTAAACTCTGGAATCAGGGATGATTTAAGCAGCCCCTTTACATTACATTTCCACATCCAGTGTTTGGTACTCCACAGATGAGTGAACAACATCCTGTTTTTGTTTCTTTTTCTGGCTAACTTCACTCAAGACAGTATCTTCCAGTTCCAACCATGTTGCTGCATAAAAGCAGTAATTCTAAAACCTAAAATATATATCAATTGATCAATTGATCTCCCTTTATTCATCGATTTATTCGAGTGGGTGTCAGTAACGTCTCCATGCATGCCTGTTGCATGCTAGTGTAGCCCAATGGCATCTGTTTGTTCTAGGAACATGGAGAGCCTCAAACTGATTTTCAGGGTCTTG